TCTGCTGCAAAACTTTGTCTTCACCGATGTACCCCTTCATGCGATTTTCTGTCGGCATGCGCCACAAGATAGTCTTCGTGACTACGTGCAGGAGACGATTATCCATGCACCGAAGGCCCTCGAGCGCCGCAGATGCATTGCGCTTCCCTCAGTCTTTTATGCCAAGAGGCATGGAAGACGAATGGTTGACTTACAAGAAGATTAATTTCATTTCTTTGGATATGCACTTTGAAGTACGTTGTTAGCGTAGGCATGACTTAAAGCCGCAAAAGGAGTAGTCTGAGAACAAAACCTTCCTCACAACAGAACTGCCCATTGGGCGGAATTGCAATACGAGTTTGATGCATTTCACTGCGCCAACTTGAAACCACAGATGGAAATGCACCGCATGCAACTCTTCTTTGGCCTCTCAATGTATTTGCCGCCTGTGCGGATGTTCCACGAGTCGCCCTGCACTACCTGGTGCATCTGGCACGAAACCATTCGGCAACGTATTTTGGGCAGTGCAATCGCTCAAAGCTGCTTCCGCAGTGCTATCGAATAACTCCTCTTGTACAATTTAGGTAAATTGTTTTTTTAACGCGACTTCAACTGCGTCTTTCAAAATAACAATTAAAAATAGAATTGTGGGTGGATGGGGAAAACCTGAGGCACGTTTGTCTGAACAAATGAAAAAGTATATTGAAAGGCGAATGCAATGCTGCCAGTACACTTCCTTCTTTTCCTATGCGCATAAGAATGCAGGGCATTAACACAAATTTTTCTTGGTACTATCCACCTCATTTAGGAGCGCAAGTTCGTCCTCCTTAAGTTCAAGCAATCTGCATTCCTTAGTGTTTTTAGTCCTACGAATAGCCATCACACTGACTTCAAGCATTCCAAGTGTTCGCCCCTTCAATGCAGAACACATGGGCAGGCATTAAGCCTCCTTGGACTATAAAAGTTATTTAACTAGAACATTTCAAATGTCATTTGCCTTTTAGTCTTAGCTCAGGATGGGGCTAACATTGAGCTGCAAATGAATAGGGTCCTTCGACTTGTGCTTCGCACTCACTTTGTCTTCGTCTTACTGCATCGGCCGAATGCTGAGAACCGAAGCAGCTCACTTCACATTCACCCACTTATCCGCATTAGCAGCAGTCATAAATCACACCCCCTCTGAGTGTGCGAAATGAACCCAACTATGTTAAATACGCCTTTGCTGTGCCTCATCAAATTTCTCCTCCAAATCCTCAGTTGACGCATCAGCACTTTTCAATTTCTCGTTTCCGCTTTAAATCGCAATCAAGGCGACTAAGACAGATAGAAAGAGAATTTGACTAGAGTCGCAAACAGAGAGCGTTAAGTGTCTATAAATTTTGAAGTTCGCATTAGCATGAGGTTCAAACCTATCGCAGTTCCGACCATTAACAGAAAACAATAATAGCATTGCAAATCTGGGCGCAAAAATGACATGGTTAGTTGAAACATGTTTGTCGACGTTGAGAAACTAAAATGTTGTACAGTTTTGTCCCAGATTTAAAACTGTTCTTGCTGTCACATAACTGTGTGTTGTAGGAGGAGAGACCTCCATCCTCGGTAGCACATGACGGTCATACGGTCGTAATGGAGGACATTAATCATCCTGATAAATTGTAAAGCAATTTAAATCTCTTCGTACTCTTGAAACAAGGCACATTTTCTGGAAACAAGGCTGCAAGCGGCCATCAGTGTATGATACTTGTGCTCCATACCACAGAGACTCCACCCATTTGGTCTTGTCTAAGCTTGGTCTAGCGTGTCGGCTTTGTTGGGTTCCACCTTTGTGCATTGATTGCACTGGCCGAGCTGCAAACCATTAATTAGCTGCGGGCCATTGTGTTTATTGGGAATGGTAGCATCAGACTGCCGGTGTACAAGTCTCTAAAGCCATTTGGGGACAGGAATCCATACTTGGACTGCGGTGAAGGTCCTCCAACCTCAGTGCCAAGCAATCACTCATTCATGCTATAACGTTTATTTTTTTATTCAAAAGTGAATCACTCCATCCTTAAGGTCATATTTGAAGGTCACGGTAAAAATTTGTTTTACATTGCACGCTAAAGGCATGTTTTTGTAAGCGTTCAACACGTAAAAGGCAAAGTGCTCGACGGCAGGAACGCACCATTTGGAAACAGTGGAGATGCTTCCACAATAGGATTAATTATTCTCTTAAAGACTGAACAGTTGAGTTATGCAAATTGCTCCCTGAGAAGGCGTGAAGTATAAGGGCCGCACCGCGCAAGGATGGATTTGTCTTGGCGTGATATGATGCCAGGACCGTTAGTATATCAAGTTCCGTAGTAAAGCTATTTTTATTCAACATATCTGATTGGGTCAAAACGAAATATAGGTATGTTGGTAAATGCAGACTAAGTGGTCTACCAAATACACCGAAAATATGTGACCAATAAAACAAATACGTTTCCATTAATTGTTATCAATTCTACAAGAGTGTGTTGTTGACCTCTCAAGCGGTGACACCTCCTATGTATGCTGGACAATGTGCCTTTGCTCCGAGACGTTTCGGAGAGGACAGTTGTTTTAGTCAGGTTAACCTCGTAGCTAAAGTGCGCATCACTGATTTCCAAGTCGAAGATTATCCCAATCTCTCCGAAAATTATGTTGATGGTCTGCAAAGTACTCGTGTTATGCGCTGTTGTTGTTTCCTCCTAAGCAGTCTTCCCCATCAAAGAGCCTCAAATCGAACATCAAGTTAAAGACAAAAAAATTGTAGTTATTTGCAATAAGTTAAGTCCGTAAAATGCTCCAGTAAAACAGCATTTGGACGTGAGGGATTGCTTCTTTTTTTCCCGGCAATATCTAGCATGTTCAAATTTTGCTCAACTCTTGATATTGTTTACCAACACTCTAAGCAAATCCCTGTTATCAAGAACGACAAAGTATGCTGATATTTGCATCCACTTTAAATGTTGTGTGCAAGCAAGTGCTAGAAGGATTGACAATAGGAAAACAAAAAATACAGAGGCTGAAATTATGCAGGTAGTTACTTAAAATTTTATCATACATTGGTTCTAGCTCTGAAGGATGGGCACAGTCCTACACCATCGAAACTTGTAATGATTCCATAAACAAGTGCATAACAAATCAACAACAGTAGACTAGCATGAATCTTCTTTACTGCTTTGTCCGTTTCACCACCGGATCTGATTGCTGATTCTTCTATGTGCGAAAATTCCCGCAACGCTTCATAAAAGAGATAATATTAACCCATTAATTGGGATAAATAGTTAAATGTTAATGGGAACACACAGTCCCATTTCGGCTCATGTTAAACATTAGTACACTAACTGGTTTATAGAACTGTCCAAGTTTATTGACAGGACTAAGCTAGTACATCGCCACTGTGCCTCTTAAAAGCGATCCAGGCTTTAGACCTGGTTTACAGCTTATATTAATTCCCATCTGCATGCATTTTAACTCTTTTGAAGTGCAGTGGGTTAGCAGATATGGGCATCCCATTTTACAATGTATGTTCCTTTTACAAACACAATACTGTTAATAGAGCAAACCATGAAGGAAATAGACTTTGTATATCTATCGTAAAATTTTGCACTAATGTGCTTAAGTTGCCTCTATAGAGGAGAGGCCATAAAGCAATTAAATACAAATCCTGTTCGTGAAGAGCATATAGGGACTGTAATGCTTTGTTTATGTGACTATCTGACGTTTGGCGATCACTTTAGAACTCGTCTGGGATCTGTACAAGTGGGCTAGCCTTCGAGCCACGCTCAGGCCCCATTTCTCCTATTGCTTTCGGAATACATGTATTCAATCTCACTTATGCCTTCTACTACCCCATTGGAAGCCTCGGGACGCTACAGGGACATCCATGAGATGAAGCCAGATTATCATCGCATCAATACTCTCCTTCTCCTTTTTTGCACAAGATGGAAAATGAACCTTCCCTTCAAATCCTCTTGTGAAGTCAAAGGTTCAGGGGCCTGAGGGTAGGCAGAGAGACTCCACAAACAGAATTTCTATTCACTTTTTGCTGATGAAATGTTCAGTAACCTGCCTAATCAACTATGTGGGCAGTGGTAGCATTGTTATTAATCTTGCTCCTAGCTGCGTGGAATAGACCGTAAGACAAACCAAGGTCCTGCTCGACATCTTTAACTGCGTAATGAGATGTCTTGGGGTATCACAATATCATCCAAAGGCCATTTTGAGCAGACTATTAGTTTAAGTTACTTTTTAGTATCCGAAGGATAAGCAATCTGAAGTTCACACCACTTAGTCTCAAAAGCCCGCGTTCGGTTCCTGGTACTCGAGAGGGTCAACAACAGGAGTGAGACTCTATTAACAGCCCAAAAAGGTCAAAACAATTTAACAAATATTTGCTATAACATTGTCAAATCTATATAAAAGATGGCATGCTTATGAAAGATACTTTAGTTTGTGATATTAACCTCATATGTTTGTACGAATCAGTGATGAGGAGAATATTTAAGCGCTTTGTCTAAAGTTGTCGTAGGTTTGTCGAGGGCTTAATTTTGTACGTTTAGTCTGCTCGGTAGCTGAAGCATTTTCTGTATAAGTAAGCCCATATGTCCATTCAACTTTGAGTTATATGCTTTGTTTATGCTTTAAATTACGGTTAGAACGTAAAATTGTAGGTGTTTTTCGTATACACCAGTTACTGACAATTGCTGGTATTGTTTTATCCTTTTCATTAGATGGGGGTTCGAACATTGCATCATTGACGGATTTGTATGTCGATCGATTTGGTTTGGTTTCGTTGGTGTTTTCTTCAATAATTCCTATTCTGACTCTAAAGCTAAGCAATAAGTATGGAATTTTGTGTTTAGTCTTGAGCAAAATGCATATAGTGTGTCAAATAAATCACTCAGCCATCTTAATTTTATCTCATTATGTTCTTGGTGTTGGTACTAACAAGCTGGTTTGTCTTTTTACTCCTTCAGCAAGCCAGCTCCCATATTGTTTCCGCCTCTTGAACTATGTTTGTTCGGAAGAGCAAATTCAAGCATATCATCGGCAAACCCAATAAAAAAGAATTCTGTTATGACGAAATTCGAATCACAAAAAGTAGTTGGGATTCCACATTTTGTTCCGTGAACCCAAAGTATCTGGCAATCATCACAGAGGCTGCTGGTGGCGGAGCGTTCCTTGTTTTGCCGATTGAAAAGGTTCGCTAATGCTTAATTTTTTTGTCTGTGTATTTACTGTCAATAGCCTACATCTTATTGACTCGACCGTACCTTAATTCATGACCGTGAAGGGCTTTATGTGGTCGCTGATGGCCATATATTTTGCTTTCATTTTCACCTGGTCTTTCATGAAAGGAACTTCTTTGGTCATATCTGTCCCAAATTCTGTTTACTGACCTTTGACGCGAACGTTCTAGTTTATCATATTTTGTAATTTAAGGAAGTCCGTCTGTAATGACGGGGTGTATCAATGGTTTAGTGGATGTATTACACTCCTCTTGCAGTTTATTGTCTAGTCGGATACTTTTCATAACTAATTGCTAATTTGGTTACCTGTCCGCATGTTCTGTTTCATTATTGTTAATAGTTCGCATTTTTAGGATCATATTCTTTGTGTTCCTAATATGAAGGACTTTTTAACCTCATGCATTTTAATACTTCATATTTAGCCTTCCGTTTTGTTGGTCGCCAAATGTGACACCTATACGACCTTTGAACCATAGAACAAACTTCCAACTCCGGACTTTGTTTCTACATTAGTTGATTCATATTTAAGTCGCTTGAGTAGAGTTGACTACGTGATTGCAACATGAATGTAGCTGGATCCAACGCAACATATTCATCTTTCCCCACTCAGGTATAGGTCTCAATTAAATCGGAATTATGTCGAAGCTGGGTGAATTTCATTCCACATTTGTGTACACCGCGAAGCTAGGTGTGCTAGCAAGTGATGTATGAAAATTGAGTGCCGTGTTGTGTAAAACTAGCGAAATCGCTCAACGGGTTGTAAAAATACCCTATTCATTTCTACTCGAATTTTGTGATTCATTGAATTTGTCTTCCATAGTTGATGATCCCCCCGCCAATAACATTAGTTTTGGAAGATGGGATGAGTGGTCTTCTGTGAATTTCGCTTGACTTCTGATCTCAAGCATAATATATGTGTTCGGCTTTGCTGACCTCACGTCTCTCAAAGTCTTGTTGTAGTCTTAGGGTCGATTTTTGCGTGAATATGATTGAGTGTGTGCGTATTTCTGTGAACAAGCCCCAGTTAACTATCACTCACTGCTGTTTTGAAGTTGCTGATTCACAAGTAACAAGGTGCTCATAATGTTGATTGCGGTATCGTAACCACTTGTGCACCCTTCATACATTTCACTATTTGAGGCATTCGTAACTTGTAAAACGATACAGTAGCACACTTTTAACACGAGTTGTTAATCTGAGATGCGTCTTTGAAGGCACTGACTCCTGAGCTTAGTGGTACCAAGAAATGCCGGTTTTTTTATGCTACAGCGATCCTTATTTTACTATCACTTGAGCAGTCGGTATTGTACTTAATCTAACTTGCGATTTTGTTTCTTCAAATGTACGCACAGATCCTGCTTTACTTCCAAGTACTTGTCGAGATTGAAGGTTAAAGTAGTAATTAAACCTTTGAATGAATTAACGTGGTGCTGGTGTAAATTACAAGCAAAGCATATGGGTCGCCAACACTACCAATGTGCGTGTTTGCATCACTCCTCTGTAGTATGGCCGGGTGGGGCGGGACGCACCGCTAGTGGCTGGCCACCGAGCTGCTGTGCTTGATATCGAGTGGTGTCCGCACAATGATGATCTCATCGCCTCGGGCTCTGAGGATTGCACTGCAAAGGTCTGGCAAATCCCCGAGGGTGGTCTCCAGCCGGAAACTAACCTCACTACTCCAGTCGCCGATCTGGTTGCTCATCAACGTCGCGTTGGTCTCGTCAAGTGGCATCCTACCGCCGAATACGTTCTCCTTACCGCAGGTACACTTCTTTTTCGATGTTGAGGAAACTGCGAAGAATCTCTACATTTCTCCACAATACCTAACAATTCAACTAGTTTTCGACATAATTGCTCCAAGTAATTCCTTCAACCACAGTAAGTAAGAAGTGCTTTATGCATTGTTGACAAGCCATAGAATATTTTTCCAACTATAGGACTGTAATCCCTGCTTCACTTCACTTGGACCAGTGTTGTACCTCTATGTTACTGCTGCCTTCGTAGGTGCGGACAACATTATTTTCATTTGGAACGTTTCAACCGAGGAGAAACTGATAACAATCAACTTTCCCGACATGGTGCTTTCAGTTAGCTTCAACTGGAACGGTTCCCGTATCGTCACTACTTGCAAAGATCGGCACACCCGTATAATTGATCCTCGAAAGGGTACCATTCTGAAGGTGTGTTGATTTTGTCGCTACTGCCCGAATCATTCTACTTGTCTATTCAGACGCTGTTATTTTTAGCCGAAAATCAGTTGTAACTTATTTGGTTTCTCCGTCCATTTCTTCTGGAATTTGATAGGCTTCTTTTTATGTATCCATACTAAAGGTTTTGGTAAGAACTCATTTCTATTTGTGATCGATGCACTTTTCAATCCCACTGATACTGCTTTCTTGCAAATCGAAAAGCGGTGTCATCAACCCTAATTCTACTATTTATCTGCTATGTTTTATCCACTTTTGTCAGGCTCTTTGTGGATATTCTCTTTGCGTGTATCCCCCTCTCGGCTTGTGATCAAATTTCACAAATCTGAGTTACAAAGTGCTCTATCGGCCCACCATTTTCCACGTTAAAGGCTTTGCAGCCTACCACATTTGATTTGGCTACAGAAATTGTTGGTGTGGGGTGTGAGTCCAAAAAAAAGGAACGAAAGTGCAGACCTAAAGGCTCACGGCTGCCTTCAGTTAAGACGCTCATGCCCAGTTACACATCCCATTATTTCAATACCTTTGTATCTTAATTTCTTCCAAATTGTTGGTTGTTCAAGACCGGACTACTTACAACTTTCACTACTAGTATGGGCATTGAGTTGAAAGTTTCGTCTTGAGTGCCAGTCAGTTCAATATGGGACTTCTGTGGCAGTTTGCGTCAACAGGGGGCGAAGCTTGTTAGGGGGGGTCATTAGGCCTCAAGTGGTAGTGAGTCATTTCGACTTACATTCTTTGGTTTCTTCTCCTTAATTTCGATAATTCTGTGCACAAGTATTTGTGTGTGATTTGCCGGGAATTGGCAATGGAAGATGAATCGTAGCTTTATTGTGAGGATACTATAGTTGTCCCATTCTTACCAGTCTTCTTAACTTCCTGTGAAGCAGCAATTAATGTCTGCATTCATGCTCGCTTTATGCTAGGAAAACATCTGCCACCAGGGGACGAAGCCACAACAGGCTATTTACCTCAAAGATGGTCGCATCTTCACCACCGGTTTCTCTCCAATGAGCGAGCGCCAATTCGCTTTGTGGGCTAAAGTGAGTTTCCTTTATCTTCACTCAATCCATTCTGGCGTCATATTAATTATCTTTATTCGACTGTATACTCGCGACTCCCCTCAATCCCTCTTACGGTTTTAGTCACTTCTCATTATCTAGGCATTCTCTAAGATAGATTTGTTTTCATTTTTGCAAAGCAATTCATTTGAATTCAATAAGTGCTATTCAGATAACATTGATAAAAATCAGGAATTCCCCACCCAACCAACTCAGGTGTAACTTCGTTGAAATTCGGCGGCATCCTGTGTATCTTTTTAAGGTTACTTTAAAAAATGGGTGCATATTTAATTTCCCCCTCCCTCCCCCC